TCTTAAGTACTTGATTAGAAGGAAATGGACGCACCGATACAATTTCAACACCCGACAAATAGTGTCGGTCAAACATTGACTAGTAGATAAAAGAGTTTTGGTTGTTATCACGCCATTCATGTCAACACACCTTGCTGTCTTTCACATCTGTACATAAAATGGATGCCGTTTTACGAACAACAAAAACAAATATTCTTTTAAGATTAGCCATAGGCCCATTAACTATTCTGCAAATTGTTTAGTATAATTCCGAGTTTAACCCATAACTAAGCCCAATTATCAAGTTTTGTTTTGAATAATAACGGCTATAATTTACCACAACGGTAATATTTTACACCGATCAAGCTATAAAAGATCAAGATTTCCTTCCTCGATCTGCAAATTCTGATTTTTTCTTTTTCCATGTCGTCTTCTTCTCTGTTTTTTTTTTCTCTTCTACTTTTAGAAACAGAGTTACGTTGCTTCAAGTCTCAATCACAGGGGTTCGGAGTTTTTGTGGAAATCATGAAACTCAAATCTCGACTCTTCTTCAACTCCAATAAACGGTATAAAATCATCTCCTTCCCTTTTTTTTTTGCGTTTGGTTGATGAAATTGCGAAGAAACAAAAATTTAGGGTTTTGTTGCTTCTTTGATCCCAAGGGGTTTAAAAACGTATAGGGTTTTGTGGCCGATCTATTTTTTTTTTTTAGATCTTTCCAGAATTATTTGGTTATAAAGTTTTGTGGAATTTTTCTAACTAAATCTCTTGATTGACATATAGAAATTTGAATGGTGCAGATTGAGTATAGATGATGAGGGAGAAGGAAACATAACGACTCTGATGCAAGATTTGGAATCTGTAGAGGTCAGTTTGAATAATTGTATATATAGATGTAAGAATTTTTTGTATATGTAAAGCGTATGTATAGGTGGTGTATGTGTAGGGTATAGTATGGATCATGTGCCTTAGACTAGAGAACAATTGTTGGAGAACTTTTCACATGATCCAAAATCAAGGAGGAAATTTTTATTGCCATATTAAAAGTAACTTTTGAGTGTTGAATTGCATAACTATGGAAACAGATCGAACATGGCTCCTGCCATTTGCCTAGTCACTTGATCATTAGAGATGCTAGTAGTTTGGTTTTGTCTACATATCGTATTGCATCATCATTCAAGTTCTTTTAGTTTGGCAATAAAAATTTTCTCCACAACTCATAGTTTAGGTGAGGAATTAAGATACTTACTGATGGATTTTAGATTTAGCTAAAGTTATTTAGGAAGGAAGCCGACTTGTTCTTAATAGCAACTTTATATATCTCTGTTTTTGTGTTCTTGGTCGATGGTTTTCAAACCCCCACTAAACGGTCCAAAATCATCTCTTTTCTTTTTATTTTGTATATGTATAGATTTGTATGAGTAGGATGCTGCATGTGTAGTGTATGAATCTTTGTATAGATGATGTATGTTTAGAGAATGGATATAGACTAGAGAACAATTGCTGGAACTCATGTATGTGTAGGGAATGGATGTGAATAGATGTATGTTTATGGATTGGATATAGAGACTAGAGAACAATTGTTCTAACTAAAACCTAGGAGGGAACTTAGATTACCGGATTAAAGAAACTTGGAGTGTTGAATCGCATAACTATGGAAACAGATCGAACATGGCTCCTGTTATTTGACCATTCACTTGATCGTTAGCGATGCTAGTAGCTTGGTTTGTCTTTCATATCGTATTTGCTATCATAACTCTAGTTCTTTTTTAATTTGGCAATATAAGTTTTCTCCACAAAACATAGAGTTTAGGTGACGAGTTAGATTTTAGGTGAGGAATTAAGGTGCTTACTGATGGATTGAGATAATAGCTAAAAGTTATATAGGAAGGAGACATGAATAATCGACTTGTTCTTAATAGAATCTCCTTTCGATGTGTATGCCTCTTTTTTTTTTCTTGGTCCTGTTCTTGTCTGGTTTCTAATTTAGAAACCGAGACACATTGGTCAGAAGATTACAGAGGTTTGAAGTTTCCTCGGCGGCGATCAGTTTGAATTCCGGTCGATGCTTCTCCAATCCGACCACTGCAACTGGACTGATCAGATCTTCTCAAAATTGGGTTTAGACAATTCTCCATGGGCTTTTATGATTGGGCTTCAAATTAGTGTTTCAAAATTTGGTTGTTTTTATTATGTGTTTTGTTATTTAGTAAATTGGGCCTACATAGCTTTGTAAAACTTTGCGTTAGAAAAATCAGTGGTTTCAAATAAATAAATGGATTTTTTTTGTTTGCGCGGATAATGAAAGTTTTACTACAAATATAACTCTTTGAGTTCAAACATATGTTGATAACCCGT